TGATTCTGTGAAGCCAATGATATACATTGATGATATTTTCATCCTCTGGCCAGACGACTTAAAACTCCCTCATAGATTTCCACCACAACTTCAACAACCACCACACATCCATTAAACTCTCTCTGGAACACTCCCACACTAGCATCAACTTCTGTTATCTACAGCCAGGCACTCAGATACCACAGAATGCGCTCCCAGGAAGAAAGTCTGGGATATACATCTTAACGTGCTTAAAACAACCTTCACCAAACAAGGACACTCCACCAGAAAAGTAGATTGCATCATGGAATGTGTCACCCAAATACCTGAGAGAACCTGCTTCAATACAGAAATAAAACCACCTCCAACCGCACACCTGTAGTTAACTATCAGGGGGTAGCCATGTTTCTGAAGAAGTGGTTTTTTACCCACGAAAGCTTATGCCCAAATAAATCTTTTAGTCTTTAAGGTGCCACCGGACACCTGTAGTTGTCATCTACCACCCCACATCGGAACCCATACTAGGTATCATCAAACAACTACAACCCATATTCAATGGGGATCCCAACATAAAAGAAATCTTTCCTGAACCCCTTTCCTGGCCTTCAAACAACCCCCCAGCCTCTCTGAGCTCATCTTCAGAAGCAAGCTCCCCAGAGAGCAGGACATACCAACTCAAAGCAGCACCAGACCCTGCCAGAACAACAGATGCAAAACCTGCAGACATATCTCCATTGCTACAATGATCAACACCCCCCACAACACATCTTTCAAGATCCATGGATACTACACATGCCTATCACAACATTTGGTGTACCTCATCCAGTGCACTAAATGCACCAATAGCAACTGTGTGGGTGAAACCAAACAATCACTATGTTCTCGAATGAACTCACAGAGAAAAAGGATAAAAGACAAGAACACCACATCACCTGTGGGTGAACACTTTTCATAATGCGATCACTGAGTTATCAGCCCCCATCCTCAAAGGAAACCTGCACAACACTTTAAAAAGATGAGCCTGGGAGCTTAAATTCATAACTCTGCTAGACATTAAGAATCATGGACAAACAGAGACACTGGATTTATGGTTTATCACAACAATCTGTAACCCACTAACCCCCTCCTTTTATCCTATGACTGCAGAGGTGTTAACCGGCCACTCTACTTTGAATGGTCCCTTAGAATATGTGCTTCCTACTTATGCTAAAGAATCAATTCCACCTTGCATTTAGCTGTGATGCTCGGCCTTTCCCAGACCTGAAGAAGACTCTATGCAGCTTGAAAGTTAGTCTCTCTCACCAAGAGAAGTTGGTTGAATAAAGGATATTACCTCATCCACCTTGTCTCTCTATAATCCTGGGACCAACACAGTTACAACTGTACTGCATACTTCATCCAAACTGTAATTGTTCCCTAAATATCACAGATTTGAAGCTTTCCCCTCCCCCACCCCCATTATCATCAAAACTCACTTTTCTCAATTGCAGGAAAGTGGATTTAGTTATAGGTGGTGGGGTTTTGTTTTGGCTATTTGGTTTTGTTTGATTGGTTTAAAGACTTCAGCTGTAGGTAAAACCAAAAGCAAACTGAGTCATAGACCCAACCCAATGGCTCTAGGGAGGTCTCATATCACCCTGTTGCTGACCAGTGTGTGTTGACATGGTCGAGAATGAAGTAGAGCTCACCAGCTAACGAACAGAAAGTGCCATTTTGATCTTCCCAACCACTGTATGTTTCCCCGATCCATTTAGGATATGACGGTGACATTACACTCCATATTCTTTATGAAAATATGCTTATGATATGGATATGACATAACTGAGATATACTTTATGCAAGATGTCTCCTGTAAGATATCATTGGAAAGATTATGATTTACTAAATGTGATTATCCCATTTGTATGCCTGTATCATTTCTGTATTTGAAGTTAGGAATATGAACTATGTAACAATTACAACTGGGTGTGTATTGGGAAGATACCCACCAGATGACAGGCCATCAGATTTGATAGGTCATTAGGGAGGAACAACAAGATTGTAAAGATACTAATCTCTCTCCTTCCTGGGAGGCGTCCTAGGTCGTAACTGTGACACTACTAGGTCAGGTGGTCTTGTCACCTCATACTAAATATTATCTTGGACTTCTTGTAACTTTCCACTAAAGGGGAAGAGGGGTCAAATTTGGGAAACAAAGAATCCCGCCTTATGTAAATCTTATTTAAGGATGGGGAGGAAGGCAAACGGGACTCTCCTCCATTGCCTGCCCAAGAAGAAGGACTGCTGAAAGAACCTGAAGGGACAAAGGAATTAACCTGAAGGGAAAGGCAGGGGTGAGTCCAGACTGAGACAGGGGTCCAGTCTGTAAGAAGAAAAAACTGGAATTCTGAGCTATAGAAATTCTGCATCTTGCCTAATTCAACATTTAGGGTGAGAAATTATATTTTTCAGAGGGGTAGCCATGTTAGCAAAAACAACGAGGAGTCTTTGTGGCACCTTAGAGACTAACAAATTTATTTGGGCATAAGCTTTCGTGGGCTATAACCCACTTCATCAGATGCATGGAGTGAAAAATACAGTAAGCAGGTATAAATATAAAGCACATGAAAAGATGGGAGTTGCCTTACCAAGTGGGGGGTCAGTGCTAACGAGGCCAATTCAATTAGGGTGGATGTGGCCATTCCCAACAGTTGACAAGAAGAGGTGAATATCAACAGAGAGAAAATTATTTTTTTGTAGTGACCCAGCCACTCCCAGTCTTTATTCAGGCCTAATTTGATGATGTCCAGTGTACAAATACAAATATAGGGACCCCCACACACACTTGGTAAGGCAACTCCCATCTTTTCACGTGCTGTATATTTATACCTGTCTACTGTATTTTCCACTCCATGCATCTGATGAAGTGGGTTATAGCCCATGAAAGCTTATGCCCAAATAAATTTGTTAGTCTCTAAGGTGCCACAAGGACTCCTCGTTGTTTTTAAATTATATTTTGTAATTTAGTTTCTTTAGTGAATCAAGCTTAGTTTGCGTGTTTTATTTGCTTAGTAATCTACTTTGTTCTGTTTGCTATCTCTTTAACCACTTATTCATTTTTATAGTTAATAAATTTGTGTTGTTTATTAATAAACCCAGTTTTTGTAATTTCTAACTGGGGCGGGGGCAAGAAGTTGTGCATATCTTCCTCCACATTGAGGGAGGGGGTGAATATATGAACTTACATTGTATAGATTTCGCTGCAGTGCAAGACAATATATCTTTGGGTCTGCACTCCAAGGGAGGTGGACACCTGAGTGCTGGGGCAAGTCCCTTAAGCTGAGTCTTCCCAGAGCTGATCTCAGTGTCTATGTCGTTCTGCAGCTGGGTGTGGCCATGCCCATGTGTGTGCTGGAGGAGTCTTAAGAGTCTGGCTCAGCAAGACAGGTAAAAAGGGGGCCCATGCTGGCAAAACAGGTGGGCTCAGTGGTATCTCAGCACATCAGATGGCATCTTAAAGGGGGCAACCTGTCACAGTAACTAGCAACTGGGAATACAGGATCTGATTCAAAGCTTGTTAAAAAGAAAGACTCCCACTGACGCTAGTGTGCTTTGGATCAGGCCCATAATGCAGGGGCCCAGCAATGTGGCATGTGCATCAGGAAGAGATTTCCAGTTGGAAGTGCATCTCCTGGGTTCATTTTGGTTTGTATTTGGATTTCAGGCTAATGTTTGTTGCATCACATCAGACTCTATTCCATCACCATAATAAGGCTCTCCCTACTGATCTCGAACATAGCTAATACAGTCACGAGGCACTCCCCAGTAGGAAAATTTACCGAGCTGTGTCAACATCCACTCTGCTTCTGCTACCTCCGTTCAAAATACACTTCCCTGTCTTCTACTGCCAAAGGAAGCAAGAGACTTATAAACAACCTCCCTTAGCAAATTGCCCCTACACAAATCATTCCCAAATGTTATGAATCAGTAAAATTCCATCACTGGACAAAGATGGACCTGATGCTGCTTTGAGACCACAGAAACATGGGGAGGAATAGTTATTGCTCTACCGTGAAACCCTGATGCCTGGTTAAGTAGAACCACAATGTACATCTAATACTATGACAGATGGAAACATATAGAGTCTATGTAATAGTTACCACTGATCACACTACTTTGGATAGCAAATACCCCAAGGTTTGTTTGAGGATGTTTGGGTGTTTTTCCATTAACTCGGTGGGTGCTAATGGAGCAACATATTTCTTATTTTTTTGTTTAAAATGATAGACACTGAGAACCAAACAGAGACCTTACTGGAGACCAAAATCTTGTTGCAAGCAAATACAACAATATGCCAGTGTCTCCACACAGAATGGGAGCATCAGCAGAGTTATCCCTTTACCAAAGCTCATACGGCGGGATGGTGATGGATGAATTAAAAAACATTCTTTCCATAAATTCTGCTTTTCATATCAATCTGCTGACAAGAAGAACTCAGCATTAAACCATCCACAGAAGCTGCCAGGCCCCTAGTTAATCTACATTCCTAAACAGGGTTGCTATACACTGCACAATCAGCTTGGAGAATGACAAACTTCCATGCATTGTCACAATAGGTTGACCTCTTAGTTCATGAATCAGAACAAAGGCATCACATGGAGAGGGCATATGGGGGGGGGGGTCACGTGCCCCCTCAGATATAACTGCTTTGCTTGTACTAAGCATGCGTACATGGACTGAGCATGCTCAGTAACATCTGCTGAAGCCGCTGCCCTCACTCTGCCCTTACTTGTGCCCCTCCCCCCACTATCGGCAGGTACAGGTCGTCTCTGAACCAGCATGTTTCCCAAATGAATGTTAAAGAAGCTTACCACAGGTGTAGATAACATTGAGGTGCTTGTGGACACCTGGGTAACAAGGATCACCGAATTCATAGGTGCTGGCATACACACTGCAGCTTCTTTTTCCATGGCAGCGTCTGGTCATGAGCTGGAGAGCCGTGGCTGACTGACACTCTGAAAGGGGAAAAGATAGGGAACAATTCTGAATGCACGCCATCCTTGTCAGAACCTTTGGGAGAAAACCTATCAAATGTAGGCTAGGAACAACAGATCAGCACTTTGACATTGATGTAAAATATTTCAAGGCCTCCAAGCCTGCACCATGAAGAGGATATAACTCTAAACTCATCAGTTCAAAATCATGAGCTAGATAAGAGGTGACCAAACTACTGCAGGTGGGAGGGGAAAAGAGACCAGGACCCTTCTATCTCATTGACATAAACAAGGTTACAAATGAGGCAGGTTTGTTTCCAGAGGGGAAAAAATGACCCATTAAAGAGATAATAATAATACCTAGATCCTACAGACCACTTTTCTTCTATAGATTTCAAAGCATTTTACAAAGGAGGTCAGTTTTATTATCCCCATTTTACAGATGGGGAAACTGAGACATGAGATCTATGAAGTGACTTGCCCAACATCACTCAGCAGAGCAGTGGCAGCACTGGGAATAGAAGCCAGGTCTCCTAAGGGGCAATTCAGTGCTCAATCCACTACAGACACATACCTACGAGAATGTCACATGACCAGAGTGCACATGAATTCTAAGGACTTTGGATCATCTTGTGGAATTCCCATGTATCTATGTTCAGTTTTTATAATGGCCCCCTGTGATTGGGCGCGAGTCACCACTGCGGTGCCTTCTGCTGGCCATCCTGGGAATTAGCTCTGGTTCGCTGGTGCGCCCTCATCTAGAGGCGTCTCTCCACCGTAGCTTCTGTCGTCAGGACCCGTGTCGCTCTCAGGACCGTGGTGTCCTCTTCTGGACACAGCCCTCTGGCCGTGCTCCTTTCAGTTCTCTCCCCCCACTTCCGATGGGGGGGCCGGCAGTCCTCTGTCCAGCCTCTTGCCTCAGTGGCAGGCTGCAGTCCAGGGTCTAGCCGTGTGCGTCAGTGGAAAATGGGGCTGAAGGGGGAGGGAGAGGGCGGCAGTCACGCACTGCATCACCTCCAATCCCTGCCGTCTTTTTCCCTGAGCCATTTCCCTGCAGCTCTAGCACCTTCTCTGCCCTTGTATCAGGGCCCCAGACTGGAAGCGGTCAGCCGGGACCTCACTCATGCTCCCCTGACCTACCCAGTGCTGCTCTGATCATGGTGCTGTCTCTTCTCCCTCCTTCAGGGCACCCAGTGCTCCCTCCTCAAACTCTAGGAAGTGACTGAAGCTTCTCTGTTCAGCAGCCCTTCTTATGTGGCCCAGCCTGGCCCTGATGGGTTAGAGAGAAAACCATTCCCCCGCTGGCTGTCTCTACAAGCCCTTTCCTAATTGGCTGCCTCCTATGCAGCCTCCCTGGGGCTGCTTTAACTCCTCTTCTGCCAATGTGGGGCAGAGCCCCATCACACACCCCCATGACAGCAGTATCTGAGTGCCTTCCATATCAATAGCAATAGCGAACTCCCCGGTAGACTTCATGGTGTCTCTGGTTCTCCACTTTTTCGAAAGGGCGGACATGGAAACTCTGCTTGGGGTCCTTCTTTCATTGGTTTATTTTAGTTGGCTGGTTGACGTTTTTTTGTTTGTGAGGGGAGTTGGGGTAGATTTCCAAATCTCCAAACCTTCAAATTGTGAAGATACCATGGACTATGTCATTCAGATCTCTGTTGTTGCAAGTCTGCGACCTTCCACACTGGAACAACAGAACCAGAAGAGCTGAGAACTCCCATGTTTGTCTTAAGGTGGTCAGACTTTTATCCTGACTATGGCCTGGCGTACACTAAAAATTTACATCCACATAGCTACATCTCTCGGGGGTGTGATAGGGTTTGTTTACACTATGTGGGGCTACAAAGGCAGAGGTGCGGTACGGCACCTAGGCCGCTGTAACCTCGCAGTGTAAACGCATCCACGACAGAAGGGGTTTTTCCATCACCCCCCACCCGCCAAGCAGCTTCCATCAACCAAGCCGCGTCAACGCCAGTGGTTAGGTCAACATACCTACAGTGCTCAAGCGGTGCGAATTTTTCACCATTGTGGTTTCACACCCCTGAGCCATTGGTTAAGCACTGGAATAATGGTTAAGCACTGGAATAAATTGCCTAGGGAGATTGTGGATCTCCATCATTGGGGATTTTTAAGAGCAGGTTGGACCTGTCAGGGATGGTTTAGATAATACTTAGTTCTGCCTTGAGTGCAGGGGACTGGACTAGATGACCTCTCGAGATCCCTTACAGTTCTATGATTCTATGTAGCTATGTCTATCTAAATTTTTAGTGTAGACCAGGCCAAAAATTGACGCCCCAGAGCACCGTAGCTATGCCAACCTGACCCCTGCTGTAGACATGGAAGACTGCTTCTGCCTACCTAGATACTGCCGCTCAGGTAGGTGGAGTTCCTACAGTGATGGATAAATCCTTTCCATTGCTGTAGAATGCGTCTAGACTACAGGGCTACAGTGGCATAGCTTCAGTGCTCCGTAGCGTAGAGAAGCCCTATGTCTATTTAAAGACCAAAATAATTAAACTTTTAATTGCTGCATCTAAGCAGAAATATCCAGTGGGGCTGGAAATGCTGGGCATATTTGTCTATCCCATTCATCTGGATACATTTTGAATATTCAAAACAACAAGGTGAATATTCAGCCAACTATTTTAAATCAGGATGTTCACTATTGTTCTCATGAACTAAGGTGAAAATGATTTTAACAAATCTAAACACTGGACTGCATTTCGGGTCTCATAGTGATATTTGGTATTAACTATATGAATATGGACAAATAGAATGGAAAAAATGTCTCAGACATTAAGTGATTTTTAAAAGCAATAATAGAGAGGTATGTAGAAGGTGGGGATAATATCTGCAGATATTGCCATAAAGTGGATAGAATTATCATAGCTTGTTATACAGTTAAAACAAGAATGGTTCAGGCGCTCACAGAAGCAACAAGGTGAGAAATCATCCAGGTGCCAATCCCCTGCATTACACATTGAATGAAAAAATGTCAGCGAGCCATCAGACCCTCCATCAACCACTTCAAAGGGCTGGCGATAAGGAGGCCATTCAGCTGAATGTCAAAATGTCATAATCTAGAGTCTTTAGTCCCTTGTTAACTGACAGTGAAGATGTCAATAACACGTCTGAGAGACAGCTGAGTGATAGATGAGATTACAGCACTCTCATAAATCATGGAGTCTCCTTCATGATGTTCAGAGCTTTAGAAGTGATATTCTGAACTTGTCTTTTACACTTGGGTCCCAAGAGCATCACTGTAAAAATGTTCACAAGGCTCAAGTTGAGTTGCATGATGTGGTGCATGCAGAGAGTAATGTAGAGGTCCCAAAATACCTGGGGCTTGTTTTCAAATGACACAAATTCTATAGTGGAAATATTAAGAAAGTTATTTCTGGCATTGATTCAGTGAAATCTGCACAGGAGATAATTCTTATTAAGCGCTCTCTGGCACTGAGAGAGACAAAAAATCCTCTAGTTATTAAATATGACTTAGTTTGGAATTCATCTGGAGATCTCCACATGGTGAGAAATAAATGAACCACCATTTTCACCAATGAAATGGCCTTTGTGCACTTTCAACATGTTACCTACTTGGCTTATACCAGAAAGGTATACTGGCTGCTCTTGGCAAGGAGATATGTAGCTCACTGCGGCTATCCCACTTAGCACAATTTTAAACCAATAAAAGCCAGAAATGTGGATCTTGAGGAGATCTAGCTGAATGGTTCAGGCAAAGCATAAGAAGCATTTGAGGTCCAACCAGCCAAACTGATCATCCGTTCTGGGGTTAGCAGTTTACTGCAAGTGTGAGGACCGCTATCTTGGCCAACAAACACACCGGGGATTGAACAATGAACCCGTGGAGCTAAAATCATGAGCTGCTACAACTTGAGCAAATGAGCCAAGGCTGTTTACTTAGGCCTGTAACAGACTCACAGGCTGCAAATTGGCCTAGTGGGGGAACCTATAATACACACACACTCCTTATGGTAATGTATCATTTCAGAAGACTCCATGAGCTTGTAGCCCATCCTCAAAGATCAGGAGATAGGAAATTGGTGTAAGTCCCTCCCTAGAGTGTGGGCGCTGCAGAATTAGCTTCACAGCAAGAGGCAATTTGTACAGTGCTGTGTTCTTCTACAACATGGTGGCATAAAATCATCATTGCACTGCAAAATATTCAGAGTCCAGATTGCCCATAGACCCCATACCCAAACTTCTTCATGGCTCCTAGACCCTGATCTTGAAGTGCTACGAGAATGCTAAATAGGAAAACTACTTTCTTCACTTCTGTTGGGGGAGAAGAAAGGTTGGTGTGTTTTTACAACAGCTCTTGCCTACAGGTGTGGGAGGGACAGGTGTGGTAATTTGGATGGAGGAAGGCAGTGTGTTAATTTGGGGGAATGTCTATTTTTTCTCTTGTTCTGTGCTGTGTTTGTTATATTAAATAACATATATGTGTCCAGAGATGTGTAACTGGGCACATTTTAGAAATCTAAAAATACAGCATGGGATTTTCAAACACGTTTAGCATTGGCCTAACTGCTCCCACTGAGGTCAATTACTGAGGAACTGAGTTCGGCCAATGCTGAGAGCCTTTTAAATCCCACCCATAGATAATGTAGATCAAATCTTATTTCACAGTGTAAAAGCACTTTAGATTGCTGCTACATTGGATAGTTATTCAACCAGACCCCACTTACATAGGACAAACAGAGTAAGCCTCTGTTTTCAGAATACAGGCGAGTCTCATCTTACGTGGGGGCTCCGTTCCGCGGTTAGCACCTAAAGCGAAAACTGCGTATAGTCAAAATTACATTGAGTTGAATGGTGGGCGGAATCGCCTGCACTACAGGTACAGTATTAAAATTGTTATTTTTCTCATTTCTTCCCCCCGACCACGTAAAGCTGAAATCGCGCATGTTAAATGTGCGTAAGATGCGACAGACCTGTAGTCCTGAATTCTTTCTGTGCACTGCAGATATGCAGCTTGCTATTTCAGTTCCAGT